ATGTGAAGATACATACAAGAGTGAGGAAACAATGCACCTTCCTTTCAAATCTGTTGAATATATGTTGCTCAAGGATATTGTGCCCTTTTATTGGAGAGAACAACATAAGCAAACATATATTGATGCAGGAGACAGTCATGAAGGGACAACATCTTTATCAATATATCAGTTTGTTAAAAAATGCAACAACAAAAAGAAAACATTTGGAAGAGATTTGAAAAGTGTTTTATGCTTTTATTTCAATTGCATTGGATGTTTTATTCCCTATTGACATCATTCAACAAGCTTTGCTCTACCGCACACTAGGCTCATAACAGCATTTGACGATACCGACCCAATTAACATTCATCATGCTAAGAAATGAGCCAAAACTCAATGAAGGCATGGAAATTATACAGGAGAGGGAAGACTTTACTCGTGCTGCTCAAACGCCAAGATAACATTTCCAATTTCCAAGATTACCAAAGATAAAGTTTATAAACACAAAGAATAACAGTCATTTGTCTCACATTTATTTTCAATCACTGATTAGAAAGAAAAAAGAAAAAATAGCATTCATTCAAATTCTGCTATACTATTGCGTGGCAACTGCTATTTGACAACACTGATGGGCATATTAGAGCAGTCTTAAGTTTTTGAGGTCCTATGTTGTGTAGGTTAGCCATGACTCAATCATGATAATATATTCAGAGGCCCTATTTAACCACAATTTAAAAGTGATTAATTTTGGGCCTTGTACGGTAGCCCGACTTGGACATCCTCAAAGACGGCCCTATCCCATATCATGAATAATAGTTGTTTGTTCAAACATGGAAGAACAATACATTGACAACATTCATCTCAACCCTTTAACAAAATTGATCCAAATACCTTAGAAGAGATCTCTTTGGTGCCAGCCTGAACAACATTAGCCGCAGAAGCAGCAACCAATGACAACTTACCAATCCCCTGAAACAATTCAACACAATAAACAATCAAACACAAGCAATTGATCAATTAATGACACAAACTAACTCAAACAATTCAATCACCTGAGAAACTACAGAGAAATAGTCGTTTTGCGGATTACTCCTCTGCGAAGGAGGCGCAGGACTGGATCCAAATCCAACATACTTTCCACCCTGAGACGGAGGAAGTCCTTCCGGCCGCGACTCATTCTCCGCCATCCTCTTCGCGAAGAAACCCTCTTTATTCGCCGCAGAAGCCTCCAACTGCGACCGCGTGTAAATATCCTCCGTCGACCTCGATCTTGCCGGCGCACCACCACCGCTCAAGCTTCTGAAATCCCCAGTCGACTTACTCCTCACATCAACAGAATTTCCTTCTCTACCCCAATCATCCCATCCGGAATCATTACTCCGGCGAGTCTGTGATATCGGCGGCCTCCCCTTACTTCCAGAACCAATATTCTCCTTAACAACCGGCGGATCGCGCCACGTACGGCCTTCCGCGATCGCCTGGATCCTGTCACGATAAACGGAAGCGGCGTTGGTGTTATACTTAGTGACGATATCCGTTTCCTTAGGAATTGAATACCGTGCGAGGAAGGAGTTAAGACTGTCGTTACCACCGGCTTCCATTTTTTTGATTTGGATTTCGGACCAGGCATCCATAGTGACAGATCGGACGAACGAGATGTGGACTCCGAGGCCACGGTGCTTGCCGGAGCACTCAAGGCACATGAAGATGCCGTAGGAGACTGAAGCCCACTGTGGATTCTTCTGAGAGCAATCGACGCAGATCTTGTTGCCGGGTTGGGATTGCAGCTCCCGGAGACGCCGAGATGCCGCCATGGATGACCGAAAAGTGAAATGAAGGATGGAAAGGAGCGAAACGGTGGAGAAAGTAGTTTGAGGTGTTCGTAGATTAGTTAACAATCTACAATACAATACTATGAATTTCGACGTTGCTAGTTTTTTTTTTATAAATTGGGTCAAAACCCAAAGATATATTAAATAAAAAAGAAAAATAGGTACAAAAATGAGGGGGACATAGAGCCTAAACTTCAAATCTATCTGATTTTAAAATTAGATAAATCTAACCGGTCTCTACAAAAGTCCGATTCTATATTCCAATGTACATCATTCCACCAAGTAAAGTTAGAGATATTTAAACTTATGTTAGCCAATTTATCGGCACAATGGGTTACCTTCCCTGAAAACATGAGAAGCCAAAAAGTTACAATTACCAAGGGTAGCCGTACAGTTGTCCCATCTATTCCTGATCTTCCAGGGCACAACAGATGGTTTACTGAACGCCATCACAACAAGAGTTGAATCCGATTCTAGCCAAATATTTGACCAACCACGAACTAAAGCATGCTCAATAGCCAAAATAGCTCCCATCAGCTCAGCAAACAGAGAATTAACAGGGCCTAAATTACAAGCAAAACTTTCAATGTGATTCCCGAAGTGATCTCTAAAGATCCCCCACAAGTCGCGTTTATTAGATCACCGCCGGATGCTCCATCAATGTTGACTTTAATCCAACCATTTGGGGGAGGATTCCAAATGACTTCGACACACATCTTGGGATTAACCGGATTAATGGAAATAGAAAACTTTTTCAGAACTTCAAAATCCCCAATGTCCATAGAAGATGCTCCTTTGAAAGAATTTCCAGCCAGCTCGGAAGTAGCATAAATAGATGAACATGTAGTTCTCCAAGGAATAAACCTGTTTTGAAACCGAGCTTGATTTCGAGCCCGCCAAATGCTATTAACCACATCAATAATCGAAGCACGATACACCACCATACATTGCGCAGCACCAGTTTTATGCATTGCAATGAAACAATCCTGCATATTTGAAAAGCTAACATTAACATTAAGCATATCGCGCAGCCAATTCCAGATCCTCCGAGAATAGTCACATTGAAAGAATAGGTGATTGATATTTTCTTCTGTATGTAAACAGAGGTTACAAATAGAAGGGCCTGCCATACCGCAATGCCGGAGCACGTCATCCGTAGGAACACGATTATTTATAACTCTCCAAAATAAAATAGAATGAGAAGGAGGGATGTTTGAGTGCCAAATGGAATTGCCCCAAACACAAGCATTTCCGCTATGCTTGCAGTAAGAATACGCATCCTTGATAGTGATATCGCCGCTGTCAGACCTGGACCAAGCGAGCCAATCTTCCTTCAAACAATTGACATAAATATTTTCCACTATCCGTGGCAGCTCAGGACAAAAACTGATCAGCCCCGGTGGCAAGTTAAACGAATTGCCACTTAAAATGGAGCTCAGATCAGCCTTCAGCAGCGCCAGCTGAGCTTCCGAAAGATGAAGCGATGAACTCAAGGGACTGTCACACCAGTTGTCACACCATAAATTAATTTTATTGCCCTTTCCAATCATCCACATAGAATTCTGCAGTAAGTCTTCCAAAAATTCAGCACAACCTGTCCAAACAGACGAGAAAACATGTGATTTACGCACCGAGCCTTTCCTTAAAACTCTAGCTTTTACAATCGAAGCCCAAGTGTCAATCTCATTCATAATACACCAGCACTGAACCAAACGATTTGCTTTGTTAAGAACACGAAGAGAGCGAATACCCAACCCTCCATCCTTACGGTCCTGACAACAAACTTTCCAAGCCACCGTAGCCATCTTTCTTTGATTAATATCACCACTCCATATAAAATTCCGACACCAAGTTTCAATTTGAGTGATCAAACTAACCGGCCAAGAGTAAATGCGGAAAGAAAATAGCAACATACTGCGAATCACCGAATTAACTAGTTGAACTCTTCCGGCTATAGAAAGTAAACTAGCTTTCCAAGCCGCTAATTTAACGCGAATTTTATCTACAACCGGTTGGAAAAAAAAAGCAGCTTTGGGTCTACCCTTGAATATGGGAACCCCAAGATAAAGGAACGGGAGAACACCCAATTTAAAACCAAGACTGCTAGACAAGAATTCATGTCGCGCCACAGCCATAGAACCTGCATAGATAAAGGATTTGGCCGGATTGCAGACCTGCCCAGAACATGAAGCATAACGATCCAACAGCTCCGCAATGGCTTCCAACGAAGAAGAAATACCTTGAGTGAAAAGCAAGATGTCGTCAGCGTAAAGAGTATGAGAAGGAAACACCATATTCCTGCAAGCTTTAATACATTTCAGCCTATTCATATAAACCAAATGAGATAACCCTCGACTCAGAACATCCTCTGCAAGACAGAAAAGGAGAGGTGACAGTGGATCGCCTTGCCTAACCCCCTCTTGCAACCAAAAAAGCCTCTAAGATCTCCGTTAAAAGCCACCGAAATTTTGGCCGATTCCAATACCAAAGTAATCCAAGAACAGAATAAATCATTGAATCCGAACTGCTTAAGAACTTTTAACAGAAACTTCCAATTAAGTGTGTCAAATTCCTAGGCAATGTCAATCTTGAGCATAACGTTACCGCGAATAGACTTTTTGTGAATCACATTAGCCACCTCAGAAGCAAGACAAATACAATCCTTTATGTTGCGCCCGTTAATAAACCCCCGCTGCTCTTTGGAAATCAGATGAGGAAGCACTTTAGTGAGCCTATCCGCAAGAACTTTGGATATGATTTTAAATTTGAAATTTGCCATAGAAATAGGTCGGAATTTGTCAATGTTATCCGCCTCCTTTACTTTCGGAATCAAAACCGAAGTGTTGGAATTATAATTAGGAGCCAACCACCCGTCCTTAAAAAACTGAAGAGTGGCCTTGATAACATCTTCTTTAATAATGCCCAAAAACGTTCGATAGAAAATAGGACCAAAGCCGTCAGGCCCAGCAGCACTATCCCTATTTAAATTGAAAACGGCACTGCAAATTTCTTCAGCAGATGGGAGCGACGTTAGCAACGAGTTAATTTGATCAGTCACTAACTTCGGAATAACATCCTCTACCAGCGAATTGTCCTGCAAAATAGAAGAATTGTCAAATAAATTCTCAAAGTGAGAGACTACATGATCCGCAATCAGATTTTGATTGGTGGTGGTGACCCCATCAATTTTCATAGAGTTAATGAGATTTGATGAGTTTCTGATTTTAGTAATCTTGTGAAAATATTTCGTGTTCCGGTCCCCGTGTAAGTGCCAGTTAACACAAGCTTTATCTTTCCAAAAGAGCTCTCAATATTAAGAGCCTGTTCTAGCCGAGCTTGCGCCACTTTCTCTTGTTGAGCCAGAACAACGGTATGGTCGTCTGTGTCAATATGATGCTGAATATTTTCTAGAGCTAACTCAGCCTTCTTGACATTGTCTTGCATATTTCCAAAATACTCTTTGTTCCACACCTTAAGCTTCTCCTTGAGAAATTTTAACTTTGCTGCCAGAACGAACATCGGACAACCAATAAAATTAGTTTTCCAAGCATCTTCCACCACTTTAATGCAGTCAGGATGCAATGTCCACATTTGCATAAAACGAAAGTGAGATTTGAACTTGAACTCTTGAAAGTTAAAGTGTAATAAAATGGGGTAATGATCAGACCGAGATTTGTTAAGAGTGGAGCAGGAAGATTGAGCACACAGACTAACCCAATCCTGATTGCAAATAACTCGATCCAGCCATTTACGAGTATGCTGCCTACCCTCTATACCATTAGCCCAAGTAAACTTAACACCAACAGTAGGCATATGGACCAAATGGTTGTAATCTGTCCAGTCAGCAAACTCTTCCATCAGGCCTCTCGCAGGCCTAAAAGAACCATCATACTCGTGAGCACCAAGTATAGTGTTGAAATCACCTATGAAACTCCAAGGCATTTGATAAGTGTGAAGAATATTCTGCAGAGAGCTCCACATATTTCTGCGAGTTATGTAGCTGGTAGATGCATAAACGGCCGAGATACCAATAGAAATGCTATTAACCAACACAGAAAAAGATACCTGTTGGTCATCTATGTGAATCACATTTGGATTGATGCTAGAATCACATAAACACCAAAGGTTTGGAATCAAAGATTCCCTACTATTTACAATGAAGAACTTGAGATTTAACCTACGGAGCCAGGACATAGAGAAGTGATCCTTATCCATCCACGGTTCCGCGATAAAAATGAACTGAGGTTTGTAATTCAAAACTAACCTTTTTAGCGCCAATTTTGTTGGAGAGTTGGCTAAGCCTCTCGCATTCCAAAATAAACAATTCATGGAGTATTAGACGCACTACCAGGCCTAGACCTTGTCTTGTAATTATCTCTCAAAGCATTGTTTTTCTGCATCTTTTTCTTGGATTTAGACTTCACTTTCACAAAGCCATCGTCGTCTACCCCCAAGGAGTTCAAACTATTATCACCAATGCCTTGCTTTACCATCTCCTGGTGGACCATGTTATTCCAAGAAGCATTGAGGAACATCAGATCCTGTTGTAGCTCTGGATTAGTTTCAGGGACTTCTTCAACTGAATTCCTTTGAGTATTGCCAATACATTCTGCATCTGCAAAATTGTTTTCCGCCTCACTGACCAAAGCCAATGTTTTATCTGTGTCATCAACCATAACAACGTCATCCACTGTATTATCGACTTCCAGAATACCCGTAGATCCACCAATGTTCACTTGGTTCTGTTTGTCTTTCTCATGGCTATTCTCTACAGCAGTATGAATCTGAGACAAATCTACCGGCTTAATAATGGTTGGCTTATTAATAGGCACCTGAACATAGATGTGTTTCTTAGAATTATGTGGCTTACCATTATCTGCTTCTTCTACTGCTTTCTGTTTCTGTGCACCAGTTTCGCCTTCGTCTCCACGATGTTTACAATTTTCCAAAGAGTGACCATTACTATTGTAGTGTTTACAGAACTCCGGAAGGTTTTCATATTCGAGATCAACAAAGAACGCAAAACCTGATCTTTCAACTAAGACTTTATAACGAATATCAGAGTTCAAATCCAAATCCACTAAGACTCTAACAAAGTGGCCAAATGATCTTTCAAAGCAGCACCTATTAGATGCAGAATCAGTACATAGTGGAATCCCCACACTACTTGCAATTGCAAAAATGATTTTCGGCCTCCAGTACTCCTGCGACAATCCATGGATGTGAATCCACACTTGAGCTGACGATTGCTTAAGAAAGGAAGGATTAAAGTCTTTTGTCCATGGGAACAACTCAAGGAAACCTGGGTTTAAGTTCCATGATGAAATGGACCTTACACGCCTGACATCTTCAAGAGTGGAAAATGAGAATTCGTAATACCCTTTACCAAGGGATGTAATACCCCATTTCCCAATAGATTTCCAAAGATTCAAAAGTTTAGTTTTGAGGTTTTGGACAGTCAATGGTGTGGATCCCTTAGGCCAGATAATCCTACCGTGTAGGTTGTGTTTGCAAGACTCCACACCCAGCAGGTACTCCTCCTCCGGAATAACAATGGATAAACGATCCTCTTTAACACAAGGCTTTGGCAGCTGACTTACCGGAATATCGCAGACGTTATTCACCGCATCAGCAAACGACTTAGGAGGTTTGGATGAGGACACCATCAACTCTTCGTGCGCTTTCATCTTCACTCATGAACATTCATCTTCAAGCTCTAAAAACTTCCACGAAACAATAGGTTCCCTCATCACGGAATCTCTGTCCATTTTGTCGAACACCTTAGGTGCATCATCCAAAACACATTCCACCGGAAGTTTGTAGCAATCTTCTTCTACCCGAATCCTTCAAAAATTGCAGTTATCTTAGAAACAAAACGGTGAAGAAACGATAGATCACAGAGACAAGTTGTTGACTACCTTTAAAAGCAGTTGTTCTGCTTTCTAGTTGCAGAGTCTTGTTCTTCTTAATTCGTCTTTTTTTTTTGTTTGCTTTTTTCCGACGTTGCTAGTTGAAATCGGACGGTTCATAATTTTTTTTTAATCAAATAAACTTGTTTTTATGCATATAAAGTTTTGTTTACTTTAATGTTTTTTTTTGGGTAAAGTAAAGAGGCATATAAAAAATAATTCTAAAAATTATTATTTTTTAATATTGAATTGTCAGATGGATTGAACTTTAAAAAAAAATTGATGCCTAAGTTGGATATTGGGCTAAATGGTAGTAGGTGAAGGAATGGGGATATTGCGTTTGACGGATTTTTATTTTACACTTTTTTTATAAATAAATTGGTGAATCACTCTTAATTTTGTAAAAAAAATTAATTAAAAAATATATTTTTAAAATATTTTGGAGATGAACCTTCTTAAACATCCACAACCTCAAAGTTACGTAGAAATCAATATATGACACACACAAAAATGACTATTTGCTAAAAAAATGAATCATAATAATTTGAGATGTTTTTCCTCTTTGAATAAATTTCAAAAAAAGATGTATGAAAATAATTTTCATTCATTATGTAGAGTATGAAAGATGGTAAGTTAAATGAAATTTGAAGGAAAGAAAATACTTAGAAGGGGGGTTGAATAAGGATTTAGAAAATATTATGGCAATAAAAACACAAAGATTTTTATCCTGGTTCGTTGAACTCAACTAATTCAGTCCATCCTATCAAGAGTGATTTGCCTTTCTCCACAAGGAATTAATCCACTATAGTCAAACTGATTATAATGTCAACCACTAAGAAGAACTGTCTTAGTCTTCTCAAGAACTACTGACCACAACTTGGTCTTCTTAAGAAACTTTTACACTCAAATGTAAACTAAAAACAAGTATTTAAATGCTTCTATGAAAGTTATATCACAACTGTGATTTTCACTTAAGTTTAAGAACGAATGAAACTATTTAACAAAGTAATATAATTTGTATGAGAGCTTTGAGAGAGTTTTCAATAGTTTTGTTAATTTCGTCAACTGTAGAGAGTTGTTGAAGGCTTGCTTATATAGACTTAGAAGTCCAAGACGTTGCAAGCTTGAAGACCGTGTACTGCAAAGTAGCTGTAACCTTTTGTCTTCATATGACTTGACCTTTCCCAGAATTAGAACGTCCAGAGAAATCCTTTTTGCCTGTGTTCTTGTGTCTAGCATAAAAGAGGAAAGAGTCGTTTGGCATAACCAATAGATATAACTTTGAATAATCTTCTTTAACAAGTTTCTATTTCACTATAATTAACATCAGAGCCTTGAGTGATCAGAGTCTTGATGTTATCAAAGTTTGCTGTATCAGAGTGTTGCAGCAAGAGTGTGCTTCAGCGTGAGTAATGGTCAGAGCAGAGTTTGGAGATCAGATCCTCAGTACTTGCAGCAAACAGTACTATCAGAGTCTTCTGAAAAACAATGCCTGAAACTCTTCATACAAAGTCTTCAGCTACGCTTCAGATGCTTTTGTAGCTCCTGCTTCAGAGTCTTCTGTAGGCAGTGCTCAGAGTCTTCTAAGGAGATGCTTCTGACGCTCAGAGCCACGCGTAGTTCAATGTTCAGATCATTTTTGCTTTCAGAGGAATATTAAATTTAATATCTGCAACAAAAATACTTGAACAAATTTAGAGTATATAATTTCTTAATACAAAATTTCATTAGTGTTATCATCAAAACATAGAGATATAACTAAGAACCAATCTGTGTTCTAACAATCTCCCCCTTTTTGATGATGACATAAACATAGGAAATTTTGTTCAATAAAGAGATAAATATAACTCCCTCTGAGATTATGAATCTCCCCCTGAAGTGAATACTAAGAAAGAATAGAAACTTCCCTTTTTGCATGAGTATTCTTTTCAGAATCAGAGCTTGATTTGGATGAACGTTTCAGAATCAGAGCCTGATTGGTTAGAACTTGATATGGGGATCTCAGAGTTACTTTAATGAATTTTGTTAGATTTATCATTATCATTCTGAAAGACTAAAAATTCATGTTAGTTATGATTTGATATGTCTGAATTCCATTCAGGTAAAGTTTATTTAAACATTCAGAATTTCATTTTCTCCCCCTTTTTGTCATAATCAAAAAGAAACTTTTAAAGACAAATAAAAGGAAACAGAGAGAAAAGATATAATCATATGAAGAAAACATTCAGATTCATTCATTCAAATATTCAGATAATAAAGACATCAGAAAAGAAATGCAAACAAGTGCTCAAACATCAGATAAAAATATAAAGCTAAGATTGTTTGAAGAGAAGCATCTTCAGAAGGTGGGTGATCTCAGAAGAAGATTCTTCTTGCTTGGACATCCATTTCTCAATGTTGTCAGTCTTCTGATCTTGCCTTGCCGTCCAGGATTTTATCTCAGATTGACCAGCTTCCAGCACAACAATCTTGTCTTCTAAGTCTGGATTCTCTTTCTTGATCTCAAAAGAAGTAGACGGAGCAGATTCTGATGCAGGAGTAGGAGCAAAGTCAATTACCATTGCAGATTCAGATTCTGGAGGCACAACTTTAGATGATTTGTCCACAATCATCAGAGCTAAAGGATTTTCTTCCAGAATGACTTCAGAAGCAGATCCTTCAATAGTAGCACACTCCAGAAGATGAAGGTGCATCCTCAAGAAGTAATGTAGTAGATCTGGTAACATTCCAAAGCATTGTTCTGGTAAGCTCAGCGAATATGATCTTCGCATCATCAGGGAAGACACTTTTCAGATTTGAAGCAACAGTGTTGAATCTGGAAATGAACTTATCCCAGCATTCTTCAGAAGCTTCTGGATTAATGCTTGAGACACATTCCTCTTGAACAGAATTCAAACTCATCCTTATTTCTTTCTTGAAACTAGAAAATAAGGCATCAACATCTAATCTGGATTTGGGTTTAAGGTAGGCTTCCAGAGGTGTTGGTTTGGGTTGTTCTGGTGGAGGTGGTATGGTGAAAGTTGGAATGATGAA